GGGATCGGGTGGTCAGGCTCACTGACTTGGTTGACACATGTCATCGGTTCCCAATTGCGCAGATCGATGCTCATGCTGTTGATCACTGGATTGTCTGGTCCAGACTCGATTATTTACAGACCGCCGCCATATAGCTGGAATATTGCTGAGTGCGGCGTAAAACTAAACTCACTCACTCACTCACTAGAAATAGGTGTGTTGAATTTATACAGAGCAAACATAAATTATGTTATAGTTCCACGTAATGTCTTTTGTATCTGTGATGCAACATACATGATTTACGTTGAGTTCAGCATTGCGATAAAATGTCTTCAATGACTATATGCACCTTCTTTGAGTGGTTGAGTTTATTGACATTACGAGAGAGCGGGAATGACGTTTCGATACAAATGTAGGAATGACGAGCAGGATGACGTTTCGATGACTATATGTAATGACTTCTGCTTGACAACGGTACAAGAATCTGTATTGCCGTAATAAAGAAGTTGTTATCCATAAAGTTTGTCAATTTTGACTATATGCAATCTCAGCTAAAGTCATTGCCAACTACTAAAGTTATGCTGACATATGACTTGTTGTGAAATAGTCTTGGTAACAGATGTTTGCTAAAACGCGACCAAGGTCTGCTTCACCACAGGTAGCGGTGACAAAATAGAACGAGAAAAATTGAGAACATATGGTTGGTTCACAAAAATTAAAAAGGGAACTGATAGTACAAGTAAAAATATGTCACTTCATTCGGTACTTTTGTGGTTGTCACAAAATATATTTGATTTATACTGCTTTAATAGCTTTTAAATATACCATCAAATCCCTGTCTTACGGATTAACCATAATCCTTAATACTACCATGGAATTGAAGGACTTTCCATGATAAGGAATTCATTATGTGGGCAAAGGTCCTCCCCTGTAAAGCTTGTGGTGAGTTCCTGTTCTGCAGAGTCCCTGTGGGCAAAGCTCCTTGTGGGTAAAGTTTAGCATTTCCCCTGAGAGCGACGAAGAGAGGTATCGTGGGAGGCTTGTATGTTACAACATCCTCTTATAAGTTAGTCGAATTAAGTAAAACTGAGTTGAATTTTGTGCTATGATACTTATCAACATACTTCCATTCATTTATAACTCACAAAACATGAAAAAACATGTATTTTGAGCAAAGTAAATATTCTCGCCCAGGGGCCTGACTGTTAGCCTATGGGTCGGCCCATGGGCGAGCGAAATTAAACAATTTTAAATTTGTCCTTCTTAGATTATATTCATGATAACTGAATTTTGAATTTTGTCAAATCCTTTGTCAGAAACTGGCCACAGTGCGGAAGCTTCTGGACTTTGGGGTTTCCAGAATTAAATTGTGACGTGTCATTGTATATTTTGTTATGTCATGTTCTATACCATGCCATTAATTCACCGAAACATTAAAGACTTGAATAGTAGCAAAGGCAGATCGAAAAGTGTCGATACTAGTTGCAAAGCACAAGCTCGTATCATAAGTAAGAGAGAAGATCTACAAATCCTTCATGGACTTTTCTAGATTCTGTTCAGATTGACAGGTACTGGCAGAAACGAAGCGAAAGTTCATCGTGTCATGTTACGCCAGCCTAAAAGTATGGTATTAGTTGAAATATCATTAATTTGGTCTGGTGGTTCTTCCACTTGGTGGGGCGGTGGGGTAGCCTAGTGGTTAAAGCGTTGGCTCGTCACGCCGAAGACCCGGGTTCGATTCCCCACATGGGTACAATGTGTGAAGCCCATTTCTGGTGTCCCCCGCCGTGATATTGCTAAAAGCGGCGTAAAACCATACTCACTCACTCACTCTTCCACTTGGTATACATGACATAATACAGCGGTCAGAATAATGAACTCTGATGTAAATGAGTGCTTGTTTATTTGTTTGTTGTTTTACGCCGCACTCAGCAATATTCCAGTTAGGTGGCTGTGGTCTGTAAATAATCAGACAATCCAGTGATCAACAGCATGAGCATAAGCATCGATATGCGCACTTGGGATACGTAAATGAGTGCATTTCTTTCAATTACCAACATGTGACATCAAATTTAAGTCCATTTTTCATTGCCTTTTCAGGGCGGTGTGGGGCAGCCTAGTGGTTAAAGCGTTCGCTCGTCACGCCGAACACCTAGGTTCGATTCCCCACATGGGTACATTGTGTGAAGCCCATTTCTGATGTACCCCGCCGTGATATTGCTGGAATGTTTCTAAAAGCGGCGTAAAACTAAACGTTCTCACGCACTGTCGTTTTGTGAGGTAACTTCGGGACAACGGCGTTGAACTGTTTATGCAGTTAACCAGAACGCAGGCGGTTATTCAGTTTTGCTGTAGGCTCATTAACTGATGATGTTGTGAGAACGGGCGAATATCGTTCATAGGTCAACACGCTCAGCAACTATGCTCGTCTTTCCCTTTGTTGCCAAAATGAATGTTTACAAAATAACACAATGATACGATTATATCCATAGTAATCTATTTAATAGTATTACTCGTGAGTAATTCGATCGCGAAACAATCTGACAGTCGTTTTGCCGTTAGATTATCGCCTGAAAATTCAAACAATATTTATGTTTGTCTAGCAAAAACGCTTGATGCATTAGCACAATGTAGTTATGGGGTAACAGAGACATAATCATTTATTTATGAAAACGATATTTCCCTCTTGGCATTTATTTTGGTCGATAAAGCTGATCATATTGAATTTGGCCTGCGGGTATCGGAACAGCGTTTCACTCAACCACGTTCTGCACTATTAACTGTGTCCTTGGTGTTCGTCTTGTGGAAGGAGCGGTGGGGTAGCCTAGTGGTTAAAGCGTTGGCTCGTCACGCCGAAGACCCGGGTTCGAATCCCTACATGGGTACAATGTGTGAAGCCCATTTCTGGTGTCCCCCACCGTGATGTTGCTGGAATATTGATAAAAGCGGCGTAAAACCAGATTCAGTCAGTCAGTCAGTCGTCTTGTGGATTTTAAAACTTACGGGTTAGATACAATGCCTAACCTGGCTATTCCTGACTGACCAAGGCACGGGCTCCTGGTCATTGTCTGACCTCGGTAGCTGGACAAGAGAACAGACACAGTAAACTACGTTTATATCGAACACGTTTATGACGAAATGACGGATGTATCGAACTGTTTTGTCCAGGCCAGTTGTTGTATGTTTAAGTCGCAATGCGTGTAAAAGCTATGGATATAACGAACTAACATTCGTGGTCCTTTTGAGTTCGATATAGCCGTTGTTTACCGTATTTGTTGAAAATCACGAGATATGTCTTCTAAGTATATATGACCCGTGAAGATCCGGGTTAGAATTGGTCTTCATAAACCCATGCTTGTCGTAAAAGGCGACTAACGGGATCGGGTGGTCAGGCTCGCTGACTTGGTTGACACGTGTCATTGTATCCCAATTGCGTAGATCGATGCTCATGCTGTTGATCCCTGGATTGTCTGGTCCAGACTCGATTATTTACAGACCGCCGCCATATAGCTGGAATATTGCTGAGTGCGGCGTAAAACTAAACTCACTCACTCAAAGCATATAGTATGTGTCCAATTTGTTTGATGGATCATTTCACTGTATAGTTCCAGTTTTGTCAGGGGGTTTCACCTGGGCACTAACACTGCCATAACCTGTATCGCTTTGGGGTTTCATGCATCAGTTGAGCAATACGTCATGGTGTAATTCAATCCTGTTGAAAGCGGCGCTAAACCCAACTCACTCACTAACCGTGAAGATCCTGTAAGAGTTGGTCTTCAGCAACAAATACTTGTCGTAATACTTGGTTGATGCATGTCAACGTATCCCAATTGCGTAGATCGCATGATATCAATCACTGGATTGTCTGGTCCGGATCCATTATTTACAGACCGCCGTCATATAGGTGGAATATTGCTGAGTGCGGCGTAAAACAACAAGCAAAGCAGACACAAGGTGATGTAACCGAATTACTGTTTAATGCGGCAATAAACCCAAATTATTTTACCCCATTTGATAACTTAATCGATTCCGGATTTCTACTTTGACAAGCTGACACAAGGTGGCGCACCTGAATGTGAAAACATAGTTAAAAAAATATGTTCGGTTTTCCTCGTACTTACTCACCATTAACCCAAGCATCCGCTTGAACTGCTTATAAAGCCGCTCTCTTATTGACTAATGCATTCATCCATCCATTCGCTCATTCGACACGCACCTCTCCAACCCACTCAGTTACTCCCCACCTCCACCCCCCTCCCGCTCCCTACTCCTGCCCCCTCTCCATACACTCAGTGGTCCACCCTATCCCAGGCTCACTCAACCCGGGGCGGTGGAGTAGCCCAATGGTTAAAGCGTTCGCTCGTCACGCCGAAGACCCGGGTTCGATTCTCCACATGGTACAATGTGTGAAGCCCAATTCTGGTGTCCCCCGTCGTGATACTGCTGGAATATTGCTAAAAGCGACGTAAAACTAAACTAAACTCACTCACTCACACCCCCCCACCCCCAACATGTACCAGACACCCACATCACCACGTGCACATCACACATTCAGTCACCCGTGCACCAGCTCACTCAACCCATCACCCACTCACTCACTCACCGACTGGTACATATGATTATTTTACGCAGTCAATGACAAACATGCGAGTTTGGTTCTTTTCTTTAAAAAAAGTTTCGTATTTTTATCTCATTTCTCCACCCACCTATTCTCATGCTGGTTGAGTAACGCATAAAAGTACGTATGACCTTTTCAGCTGTATCCTAGTACGCGGCCAATCACGAATCACATTGATTTCAACCCTCCGTTGATTTTACTTCCCACGATATCTACATTTCAACACATATGCACCTGCAACCCGCTGATACGGAACACAAAACATAAAAAATTCAACAAGTCGATTGGAGGAAATTGTTCAACATGTCACCCATCACAGCCTTTCACTTCCTTTCCACGTGACCGACAACTTTTGTTCAACGCTACACCCAATAGCCCAGCTTTACGATAGCCTCTGTTACCAACGACGACGTGGCGTCGCAGTACACGTAGAAGACCACAGCGCTGGGTCTGACTCCATCCCTAACGTTAAAGGCTAAGCAAATAGCCATTAACTGACCTCAATAGGGTGTCGATACTCTGTGAAGTCAAGGATATCGTCTCGCACACGTGTGAATGAAAAAGACTGTTAACCGATTGTTCACAGGGGTGTATGTTAACAGCGTGGGGATTCTTTCTGCAACAAGCCCGGATGTATAATGATATGATTCTGGAGGTACTGGGCTGCAGTTTTACAAGCATAATGATATAACCCACTCAGACAGGTATACTATACCGACAGCGAGCCCGGATTGTTTATCACATGACCATCCACCCTTCACTAACGCACAACGTGCACATGTCACATCGTAGACAGACACGCTAGGCCAAACGTGGAGGTGAGTTTGTACATAACTATTGCGTGGACCATATTTTTATGTGGTATGTCAAAATATGTACACAAATTTAGACTGCTATCGGGAAGTTAAAAGAACTGTCTATAATCATTTTTGTGTTGACTTTTCGATGTTTTGAGGAAATAGCATACGAGTAAACAAACCGGTTTTATTTCCTTCCGTAATCCGCGCGTCGATTATTTAAAAATGACAGCCACTGTCTAGAAGCTGGAGTTGGAATGGATTAGGATTGGGATTAAGATTAAGGGTAGGATTGGAATAGGGTCAGGATTAAGACTAAGGTTAGAGGGTAGGATTGGATCGTAATAGGGTCAGTGTTAGGATTAGGATTAAGGTTAGGGTAGGATTGGATTGGAATAGGGTCAGTGTTAGGATTAGGATTAGAGTTAAAGTTAGGGAAAGTATTGGGTTGGATTAGATTAGGGTTGGGGCGAAAGTTGGGATTAGGGTTGGGGGAAACGTGAATCTGGGGTTATTTGCAACACTCTTTCGAACAATTTACATCAATAACAGCCATAGATATAGAGGTTTAATTTGTAGAACCTTGAAGCATAACATGATTCACTGCCAGAGGGATTTAGGAAAACATGCGAAAATGCACATCTCAATTTAATATCAAATTTGTGATTGGGAATTTGTTCTTGCTTCAAAGGGGGTGGTGGGGTAGCCTAGTGGCGTATAAAGCCACTCTCCTATTGACTAATGCATTCACCTATCCATTCACTCATGAGACACGTATCTCTCTCTCACACCCTACTGTCGCCCCCTCCCATACACTCAGTACTCCACCCCACCCCAAGCTCACTCAACCCGGGGCGGTGGGGTAGCCCAGTGATTAATGCGTTCGCTCGTCACGCCGAAGGCCCGGGTTCGATTCCCCACATGGGTAAAATGTGTGAAGGCCATTTCTGGCGTTCCCCATCATGATATTGCTGGAATATTGCTAAAAGCGGCGTAAACCCTAACTCACTCACTCACAATGAGGATAGAATACTTTCCCCCAAACATTGCTTAACCGGTTAGAGTAGCTCAGATTCTGTCGAATTTTGGGTCCAAATTTCTTTAGTGGATAATACAATTGCTAACATAAATAGGTTCAACCGCGATTCCATCTGTACTGTTACAAATAAAGCCCAACGAACAGTGTTTATCTTACTCCCGGGTAAACAGTCACGTGCTCTCGAAATACCAGACTGGTTAACGGTACAAGTGTACACAAAAATACAGACTGGGACAACAGTGGACAGACGGAAGGACAATGACGTTGTGGTGGACAAGCGATTTACAGGGGTGGTGACCAACACAGGAATACACACAAATAGATTTAAATCCATTAAGGCTATGGATGTCGTAACAATAGGTAAGAAATGACCGTCTTGGACTATAACACAAATGACTCTATGGATTACAGAACTATGGAACGTCGAGTCTCAGAAAGTACATGTATATGAATTCGATAGAAACAAATAAGGGAAACAAAGAACTTCATTTAAATGGTAAAGGAGCCCACTGAGGTCGAAGATTCAGTGAGTGAGTGAGTTTAGTTTTTCGCCATTTTTTTGCCATTTTCCAGCAATATCACGGCGGGGGACACCAGAAATGGGCTTCACACATTGTTCCCATTTGGGGGAATCGAACCCGGGTCCTCGGCATGACGAGCGAACGCTTTAACCACTAGACTACCCCACCTCCCTTCGGAGATTCAGAAACTGAAACCGCGGAAAATCTAGACTTGCTTTATTTTGGGAAAGCCCATGCATGTTTGTTATCGCCTGGCACTGTTGGGAGCTCTGACTTTGGGCAGTTACAGCGCAGGCCCTCGTGTCTTTGGCACTCTTTGCCAGGATTAAAGATTTTTTAAAAATATATAAAAATTTGAGATGACCCCCGACTCGAAATGTTTCTCAGTTCTAAACATCATGATATATTGTTCTGTGAAGCATTTCGAGTCGGGACTGATCTATAAAATGATCTTTTTAATCTTTAATCCTCGCAAAGACACGAGGGCCTGTGATTTACAGTACAGAGGGCTTGTTTTCCCTATCGAGGGGATTTATGGCGCTTGTATTTTTTACTCATTTTTATTTGTTGTTTTTTGAGCGAACGGGATTTATGGCGTTTGTGTTTTTTACTCATTTTTATTTGTTGTTATTTGAGCAGTTAAGCATATCCCGGATGTACTGAACTACTAGTTTATGACATCGTCAACGTGTTTATGGCTGCAATATTACCTTGTAAAGCACCGGGTGATATTGAAATAATACACGTGGGACAGAGAATACTGTGCTAAAAGCATATATGTTCTTGTGAATTTGTATTTGATTATAGTCTGTAAGTGTCTAGGCATCACAGCATCGAACATATTCAAGTCAAAACATTGATTACACAACAGTCTCGTTTCCTGCTGACTGGGTTCCGTCCTATTGCGCAACTTAGTACAATAACCAGTCAAGAATTTTGAGACCAATTCATTCAACTGGATACATAAATATTATCAGGATTATTTGATACATCTAACCACTTGTACATTGCAACACTACGCTCCTTCTAATCCTTGCAAACACGTCGTGCAGCGTGCTCTGTCGTACAGCGAGCACTGACAAACGGAAATCGTGGAAATCTCAAAACGAGGCTCTGAGCTAGAAAGGTTTGGCGGTCTGGTACGAACCTGATATTATATCAATCACATTGTGCGTTACAAAACCACACAGAATAAGCGCAAACAACGCATAACAGGTGTAACCAGTGAGCCAGATGAATTGTGAATCATTTTACGACCTCATCAAACAGGGGCAGTCTGTGACGTTTTAGTTAAGGTCATGCTGCCTACACCTCGCCATAAAATATAGAAATACGATGTTATTAAAGTTTAGAATTAAAATAAACTTGTAAATATCATTTTCTTATGAAACAAGGAATTGGAATTCAGTGTAAACATAGTTGTTTGTGGTGTCTCTTTTTTACTTTCACACGAGAAAATTCGGATCGGCTGAAAAGTAGGTCATTGTCTGAATAGGTTAATGAGACTCATGTTTCGGTTTCAATATCAGTCATAGTTAATCTATTAAAGATGTATCCAAATAATTTTACATTGGAATTCCAGGTAAGAATGTAAGTACCCAGTAACCGGTGTTTCTAAGAGGACAGAGTGCCTAGGTTCGTTTACTTGGATGATGCGGGTCATTGTGTCCTTATTGCGTGTATCGGTGCTCATAACCTCCATCACTGGACTGACTGATACAGACTCGATTATTTACATGCTGATATGAAGCATTGTATAAACAAGAAGGCAGAGTGGGTAGCAATAAGTTCCGGACGTATAGAAAGTTTAAAAGTGTGTAAAAGCTAATGCGAAAGCTATGTAAGTATGCAAATGCCGCGCTCCTATCCATCTGCCCTTTCCAAGTTTAGATCCGGTATTGCACCTCTAAAGTTGGAAACAGGCAGATATTCAAATATGAATGTAAATGAAAGGGTGTGTTTCCAATGTAGTGATAAGATTGAAGATGAAAGTCATGTACTGTTGGAATGTCCGCTGTACGATGATCTACGTCAAAGTTTATATGGCCATATGTGTTTCAGCTATCCCAACTTCCTAGATTTATGTGATAATGAAAAAAGGATTTTACTATTTAAAGAACATGTTTATTTTACAGCCAAAACCTGCTTTTATATACTTCAAAGAAGAAAACATCTTTTATACGGCTAATGTCATATTGTTACTTTTATCATATATGTCACTTCTATGTAATAGTCTCTCATAACCCTTAAAGGGTGGCTCATTGTATGTATATGTGTGTATATATCTGTACTTTTACATGAGGTGAGACTTAAATATAATATCTGTCTGTCTGTCTGCTGCCGTCATGTTGATTGATTGATTGATTGATTGATTGATTCAATCATTCATTCATTCATCCATCCATTCATTCATTCATTCATTCATTATTTACTTATGCTAAGCTTCGTCACGATATGGCTGAGATATTGCCGATGTGACGTCAAATATTAACTCACTCACTCACTTATGCTAAGCGGAGCGTTCAGGGATTATTTAAGGACACCCGACTGAGTTGGGTTTTACGTCACATCGGCGTTATTCCAGCCATATAGCGACGAGTCCAAGTCTGAAGTCACCCACATTTTAAGACCAAAGGGACCCCGATTGTCATATACCTAGCAAATTCCTTACTGCGGCGTTAAACAAACCAAAAGCATACATGCCACAGTTATTGGCTTGAGCAATGAGAGGAAAATGTCAGTGCTGTTAATTTTTATTGATTACACAACCACACTCACACGCACACACAATCACACGCCTGATCACACATACACACACAATCAACCGTCACACATACACAGACACAACCGCACATAAACACACACACACACACACACACACACACACACACACACACACACACACACACACAATGATGCATACACGATCGTATATGTGCGTACACACAGTCAGACACAACACATACACACACAAACAGGCATACACATACTCACACAATCGTACCTACACACAGAATCACACACCACACATATACACACAACACCTACGCACTATCTTCTACAATACTGATTCATATGACTTTTTGATGTGTTTGTTTTTAAACATTTGTGCGCGCTTTGAGCATGCCCCTTTGTGATATGGAGTATTGCGCAATATGAATACCCTTATTATTATTACGCAAACACACTCCATTACAACACACACACACACACACACACACACACACATCACCGCACCGCACCGCACCGCACCGCACATGTATACACGTCTCCCTATAAGTACTAAGTCTTGAGCGCCATGTTAAACCTATTCACGCCCCTCAGTCGATACCACGTGGCGCACATGTGCACATGTATGCTAGTATACCAGACGCTTTATCTGACCCATGACTGACTGAGTTTGGTTTTACGCCGCTTTTAGCAATATTCCAGCAACATCACGGCGGGGGACACCAGAAATGGGCTTCACACATTGTACCCATGTGGGGATTCGAATCCGGGTCTTTGGCGTGACGAGCCAACGCTTTAACCACTAGGCTACCCCACCGCCCCTCTGACCCATGACCCTCAATGCGTCATACACATGCTGTAGTAATGACAATGTTTCATCGTTGTCGGAATGTGAACTTTGAACAACTTGCGTTATCTGTCGCGATAAGTGGGTCACGAACTTAAGACATCGTGCCTTCGTTGATAGGATTTTGTTTCAGCGTCGCGGAGTCGCAAATCTATACCAGGGCCATGTGTGTGAGTGAGTGGGTATGGTTTACGCCGGTTTTAGCAATATCCCAGCAATATCACGGCGGGGGATACCGGAAATGAGCTTCACACATTGTACCCATGTAGGGAATCGAACCCGGGTCTTCGTCGTGACGAGCGAATGTTTTAACCACCAGGCTACACATCGGACCCGTGTGTGTGAACATACCTTCAAATTTCACGCTCGTCCGCTAGCCCGATACTACTAATTCGTTCTGGGGACTTAATAACCGCTTGTCCTCATTGACGAGAAGCGTTGAAGGGCTGTGATTCTAAACATGTTCTCACAGGTTAAAATTTTGTTTAAAATCATAACGAACCCGTGGAGACCTAAGTCGGAGACAGTAACCCATGCCGGTCTTAAGTGGGTCGGGTGTCCGGGTTCGTTGACCTGTTTGATGCATGTCAGCGTATTCGTAATTGCACACATCGGTGCTCATTACATCAATCACAGGATTGTCAAATTCAGATTATTTAGGCACCCGCGGGCGTCACGTAGCTGGAATATTGTTGAATTATACCTATGACGCTTGTAACCCCACCCCACCCCCACCCCACCCTCCAAATGTAATGGCAAATCAGGGAAACCAACTATCCTCAGATCCTGGCTTGGGTAAGAAATGTAACTCTGTGCTAATCAGTATGGTGTCCATTTAACCATATTGCATATATTTTAACATAAAAGTATATTCACACTTAATGGTTTGAACATGAATAGCAGCCCTGTTTGAGCTACCACATCAAACCAAAACACCCCACCCCCACCCCCACCCATTAATCTCTCACACACATACCCCTTCCCCCATCCCCGCCCCATGACGTTGCAAATGTATAAGCTGATGATCCGTAGGTCACCAGGTAATTAGGTATTGATACGGGCGGTATAGCCTTTCAAAGCTGAAGGTACAGAGGTGGGCGTCACCCTCCTTTGCCTGACTGTGCAATACCCAGTCTCCCCCTCGTCCGAATTGAATCGCCCAACTTCGATGCATTCCACGTGCAGCGGCCTAAGATAATATCGAGTCTGCAAAAACTAGACACAACCTGCCCTGGTGCCGAAATGCTTAGCGATAACCCCAGGTTAATGTCCTTGGCTAATACTCTTTGCCGTCGAGGAAAATCTCAAAACAATAAGTAAAGCGGAGTCCGCCTTTAAGAGATTAAAGCGGAAGTAATAATACCCAAGCAGTCAGGCTTATCACTCCGTTGAGACAATACCCATATCAGGTACTTCCATTTACTTGACGTTGTGATTGTTTAATCTCCTAGACGAGTGATCCGATTGTGATTACAACAGGATATGCTTATATGGAGGAAGGGTTGACACGAGGCAGAGGTAAATGAGGCAGTTACAGCCCACGTAGATGTGCGTTACGTGTGCTGTCAACCACGGTGAGCGACCATTGTGTATTTATCATTCGCGGTAATGTTTATGATGTTGTTTGACGACACCGCCTGCGTGTCATGTTTGCCTAATGCATATATTGTTTCTGTGCTACTTATGTTTGCAATCCTGGAACTGTAACCTACACGCAACCACTAATTTGTCCACCCTCCTCCCCACACACGCCCTCACCCCTCCTCTAGCAAACACTCATGTTTGCCTCTCTCTTTTCTTCACAAATCTCATACATCTTCGCTCTCCTGCACACATATACGGACGAATCTGTTTATCTTCTCTCTCTCTCTCTCTCTCTCGCTCTCTCTAAACAAGCACTACGATCGCCCACTCACCCCTAACACAGCCTGTGACAGGCTCCTAATGCACAACCTCCTTTTCCCAAGGGCTTTTTCACTAAAGTGTGTTTCGCTTTAATGGCTTTATATCGCTGAGCTTGTGCCTCGATTCTGATCTACTGCAGGTGCCCGGAGTGAGCTTGACGTCAGCGAGATGTCCACAAAAGCGGCCCTTGTACCTCACAAGTTGTCACTTGTCTCATAGCAACACGGGAGCGTTACCTGTCGCCGATAACGGAGTATCAACGCTGTCAACAGACATATCGCCGTGCTGGAGAATGACGCGTGGACATAACCTCAGATGACCCAAAACAGACCGAACTCAAGAAAAGCGGACAGTATTCATATCACACAATGATTAATAAGACGGCACTGTCTCAGAGTTTGCTCCCTTTATTCAACCATCGCCGCCAGGTGGTCAAGCTCCTGTTTATTTACAGCGTCGTACTCGTTGCGTTCACCACCGCTCTGTTTCATTTTTTCCACTTTAGCCGGACTCCTACCGAAACCCAGCTTCAAATACTCCGAAGAGTAGAACCAAGCCATAACGTGACCGAAAATCCGAAAGTGGTGAAAGCGCTTGAAAATCACAAAGATGATCCTAGGGGACTATTTTCTATCCCACCTGTGCCCAAAAGGTCTTTCAATGACCACGTGGTTCCAATACGACAGTCAGTTATTCAGAAATACCTGCATTATGAGCCCCGGGAGTATAAAGACAAAGTGTTGATACTGTCGCCAATTCACAACGTAGCCAGACTCCTTCATCGGTTTGGAAGACTACTGAAGGAACTCAGTTATCCCCATCAACTGATATCAGTCGTGTTCGGTGAAGACTGCAGTCGAGACGAAACTCTGAAGACGGCTGAAGTCGTTGCATCCAATCTCAAAAGGACGTTTAACAGAGTAGAAGTGTTTCATTTCAACGTCACAGGACAGGTCAGGGGGATTTGGACGGATGTTCACAATCGACATGCGCAGAGAAAGCGGCGCGGCCACATTGCGCAGTCCCGGAACATGCTCTTGAAGTCGGGACTGAAGGACGAGGTTTGGGCACTGTGGATTGATAGCGACATTACGGAGCTTCCACGGGATATTATCCAGCAGCTTCTTTCTTCCGACAAGGATATTGTAGCTCCTGCATGTTTGTTCCGATCGGATTTGGGACACCTCCGGATATTTGATAAAAATACGTGGCGGGAGACACCCGAGTCCATTGCTAAGCAGAAACATATGAGAGATGGCGCACTCATGTTGGAGGGATATGGCGTATCCAGCAGAATATTCCTCCCCGATCTTCGAGCAGAGGGCAGGGTGGTGCCGATAGATGGCGTTGGGGGCTGCACGCTTCTTATAAAGGCCGATTACCATCGGAAGGGTTTGGTTTTTCCAGAAACAGTGGTAGATCATCACATTGAAACAGAAGGCTTGGCCAAACTTGCAAAGAAGATGGGGTTTGGTGTCTATGGTATGCCCTTTGTCAATGTTATTCACTGAAATGGATGTGTTCAGGTATTTAGCTTATTGTGTAGAGTTGCTGCCCTTGGACGTGCCAGGAACCTGTGATAGTGGTTCGTTTTCTGGTTCTGGTTTTATTTGTAGGTTACTCGGCACAATACACGTGATGGCGGATTTTGCAAAGGACTAGGACCTACATCGTTATGGGATTTCGTTCCACGATTTCTCCACTGACTCGCTGTGATATTAGTGTTAGTTTGTACAAAGTGACGTTAAGCCACATAGACTAATACTCACTGAATTGCTGATACTGTGTTGACAAATATACTGACGTAAAAAAGAAAGTACACACCTGCTTTTCTTTGGCTGGACAAGGAATATAAGGCGCTGGAAACGTTTGGTATATCTGTGATGATTTGGCACCACGTAAACAATGTGACTTTTAAGTCACAATCAAACTCTTGTCAAAATAGTTCCGTTTTTAAAAAAAAAAATCCCAAAGCAGCATGTGTGTAGCTTATTTCATATGTCAGTTTATGTTAGTGTTATTACCTATCAGGAACATTTGTTTCCAGGTTTGAGTGAGTTAGTGAGTGAGTAGTAAACATGATCTAGTACTAAACGTTATCCCTAAACGACTGCTCAAACGAATCTGACAACTGCTCAAAACAACTTACACACGGTTCTATAGTATACTTGTAGTTAATCAGTCATGGGAACTGGTTGACAATATATTAATTTCTTTTGAGTACTACATATTTTTGAACGTTAATTTTCAATTCTTCAAAAAACCCAACCCAAAACCAATTTCAATGCATCATTAACCGTGACAAAATTGTCGTCCGAGCATTGGAAGGTTTGAAACTTATTTGTTTTGCTTCAGGTTGTTTCGATCTATTTAATGTTTGGTTCAGACAATACGGTATTTTATATATGTTTGAAAAACAGTGCAATTCTACCATTGTATATTTACAATTCTATGCTGTATAGTATTTGTGAATTATTCACCCACAGACTGTTGATTTTAAACATGTAAAATAGTTATTTTTCCTGTAAAAATGTGTTTCGTTCTTTTCCCCGCTATCCTGTATGTAACCTCTTTGTATCACTGTGTATGTGTCCGGTTAGAGTGAGTGAGTGAGTTTAGTTTTACGCCGCACTCAGCAATATCCCAGCTATATGGCGGCGGTCTGTAAATAATCGAGTCTGGACCAGACAATCCAGTGATCAACAGCATGAGCATTGATCTGCGCAATTGGGAACCGATGACATGTGTCAACCAAGTCAGCGAAACTGACCACCCGATCCCGTTAGTCGCCTCTTACGACAAGCATAGTCGCCTTTTATGGCAAGCACATGGGTTGCTGAAGAACTATTCTACCCCGGATCTTCACGGGTCGTGTCCGGTTAGAACTGATCTTAGCAGCCCATGCTTGTCGTAAGAGGCGACATACAGGTTCGGGTGGTCGAGTACGTGATACATGTCACTGTATGTCAGTTTGTGTACAGTGTTATTACCTATCAGGAACATATGTTTCCAGGTTTGAGTGAGTTAGTGAGTGATTGCGCCTAATTGCGTAGATTGATGCTCCCAGTGTCAATCACTTGATTGTCTGTTCCAGACTCAAGTATTATCGATTATTGATAATACAGACCGCCTGATATTCCTGGTATATTGCTAACTACGACAGTAAACAACCCACAAACAAACAAACAAACAAACAATGCGATATTGCGGGTACATGACATTGCCCCAATGTCTCAGGGGTGACTGTCAGGATCGAACCCCGTGCTTGTCGTATAAAAATCCAATGGGGGTTGGAGGGTCACAATGTGATGCCCGGTGTGGTGATGATGACGATGATGAATTTGGTGATTTTACGTGCGTTTTCCAAATAATTTCGCACACGAATAGTATCAGTCACTTATCTACCTGACCAAAATCCAAGATTGTTCAAGTTTGCTTTATTGCTGTGCTTTTAGTTCCTCATGGGACTTCCGAATATCAGATAAAACGATGTTCGGAATGTATCGATCTTGTGATACAGAGATGCGCTGATCGTTGGTATGATTTGCGCGGATTGTGACCGTTGGCTTGTGTATCATCAGAGAATCTATTATATGGTCTCTGGTATCATGTTGGCTGCCCGTGACATATTTGCACTTCAAGCAGTGTATGAAATAAGGCCCGTCCGACCGCCCGAGACAGTCCAGAGGCGTGTTCAGAACCGCGAGCGCCCGCGCGATTGCCTCCCGCGAGCGCTCGCATCGGCCCTGAACGGACGCGAGCGCTTGGTTACAATAAACCATTCGTGACCAACTCGTATTGTTCCGGGACAAGCCGAATACATGTAGCTTCTTTTATTATATTCTTAAGGGTGAAATACTGTAAATATTGGTGAAAAGAAAAATGGTATTTTCATTTTCACTGAGTAGAATATCACTTTTGCCTGGAACTAAGAAACGCGAACTACGAAATCGATGTCTCGATCATTTATAAACAATGATCAAAATATAATAAATAGAATATTTTGTTAATGTTGTCAATGGTTACGCCATTCGTAAACATATCAACTTTGTCAGACCACTCGATGAAATATACATGTTATTTGACAACATTAACAAAATATCCTCCATGCCTTCTTTTTGGAGGTTACGGAAAGGGGCGAGTGGTGACGAATGACATTAAACATGATCGCCATCTTGGTTCGCTTGGCGAGGCAGCTGTGAGAATGGTTCGCGTACACGCGCGGGCGCTCGAACGGGCACAGGCGTTCAGGATCGAGCGCTCGCTAGCGTTCGCGGGCACTCGCGGTTCTGAACACGCCTCAGATTTCTGACGGACGGTCTAAATTTACAGCTAGCCAGCCCGATGGTCTGGTAAAAAATTTAGATGTTCCATACAGCTGAGTAAATTCACCATATTTAGTCTGGTTAAAGCCATTTTGGGCTGGTAACATTTTGAAGTTACCAGCCCTGATGTCTGGCTGGGTTTTTGGCTTATTTCATACACTGCTTCAAGTCTTAAAGGAACCTGGCGTGTTGTGGAGAGGACACAGTGAGTGAGTGAGTGAGTGAGTGAGGGAGGGAGGGAGGGAAGGAGGAAGCCCGAAGTGATGCAGGTCTCAGACGATTAATGGGCGATGGAGTAGCCTAGTGGTTAAAGCGTACGCTCGTCACGCCGAATTTCCGGGTTCGATTTCCCACATAAGTACAATGGTGTCCCCGCCGTGATATTGCTGGAATATTGCTAAAAGCTGCTTGAAACCACATTCACTCACTCACTCAGACAATTAATCCACGTTGCTGACAAACCTTGAAACATTATAAGGATGAACCGGGATTCGAATCCGTAATCCGAGGTTCCTGGCGCGCCCAAGGGACGCAACTGCAGAGCAAATTAAGGCACTTTAGTCGACTGGGAAAGAACAAGATGCGGAAGTTGGCAGTGTGCAACGCACGCTGTCGCAGTTGACTCTGACCGAGAATACGCTGCTAGAATGTGTGTAAACTCTCTCAATGTGTCATTCTGATCCACGAGTGACTAGGAGCAGTGGGATAGTGGTTAAAGCAAAGATCCACATTATAGGATAGGATATTTATATAGCGCACATATCCACGCACTGGTGCATGCTTAAGGCGCTGGTATTTTTCCCTCGATCATTGGATGTCAATCTGAACAGCACATCGCATTATCAATCTCAACTCCCTGGGGAGTATACATTCAATTCTCCACATGGGAACAATGTATGAAAACCATACTCATTTCATGTGGGATGACATCCTTTGTGGCCAAGTGGTCAGGGTTTCAACTGAATATCAATGTTCGATCCCCTCCGATCACAACAAAATGCGTTAAAAGATGGCATTTGTTGTTACCACGCCTTGCGCTTGGCATTAAGATGAAGAAACAAGGACTAGTCTGCACGGGATCAGTATCTGTCGCTGAGAAATGAATGCATGCGCAATATAACAGGTTTCCCGGTATTTACCGGTTCAGACATGAAAACGATACGTATTGCGATACGCTGATCGAAAACCGGTATTTTGACATGCATTCGGAAAACATCGTAACACTCGGAAATCTTCGGATAAATTCTTCTTTTCATTTTCAATTTGTGCCAAATATTATTTACATTTATATTTTGTCATGATTAAAAGTTTGAATTAAAGCTTAATCAAGCACAGTGATTTTGTTGTGTTTTTGCTTTGCAGATCAAGCATTAACTCGATTGTAAGTATTTTTTTGTTGAAAAAGAACTTCTTGCAATATATTGCAATACATATCGCAATAATTATATACTTTCGCATCGCAGTATATCGCAATATGAAAATTCTCTGCAATATTCACCCCTACGTTTTACTGAGTTATTTTCTAACTGGCACGAGTACGCGCAGACACACACCCGCAGGAACGCACGCAGACACACGTGTACGTCTCGCCATATGATCTTGAACACACGAATGCCTTTTTTACATCTTCACCAGTGTAACTCCATGACGTCAGTTCCGTTTGGACGTATACGTATATACACTACGTTCCTCGTACACAATTTGACCTCAATTTATCTTTTCACGTGCAAAGTGAAGGGAAATTCAAAATCGATATTGTCTGCAATAATATTTGCAACGCAGCATGAAAACATTTTTTAGAGCCAGCATGGAGAGTGCACATATTATCCAATCAGACACTCGCTGAACTATTCGACGCGGGCCTGTAGCAATAGAATTGTATACTTCCGGTCATATGTTTCGACTTCTGGAGAGAATGGACGGCAAAATTAATGAAAGTTTCAAATGGAAATAAAATCATCAAGTGAGTGATACGCAAGGTATGTTTTTACAGACTTCAATTGAGTGTAAATTGTACAGTTAATTCAACGGTCAAAGTGATGGAAGCGTTTGTTAGACCGAAACCGATCCGAGCAGCCATTTTGTTTCCATTTACTGACACACCTTTTTGATATGTTATATAGAGAGGTACATATATCATACTTATAAGTATATAAGATTCGGGCGCGTATGGCCAGAGTTTGTAGTGATTCATTGAATTTTCCCGCCAGTCTGAAAGAAGTGCGCAAAAAAGTGCCTTTTCGACAAAAGCGGCTTGTGTCAACATGTTCTTGGTGTTAACAAGGGGCAGTTAATCTCGGTCCATGTAATATTCGCAAGTGGTCTCCCTTGCGGCCCCATAAGCGGCTGTGAAATCTCCATGATTTACCCTCGCTTTCAATCTCCAACCCAAATCATCTCTACGTCAGTATTACATGTATCGTAGCTTTGTATGATATGCGACAGGTTTATGATGGTAGTTTCGAAAATATACCACCCATTACCTTTTCTTTTACTTAAGACACATTAAATTTATCTTTAAACGTAAGTTGTTGAGATTAACTTCGATTTAAATACTCTTGACCCATTGTGTTGCTATAAACAAACACACCACGTGCTACACGTGTTGCATGAGTAATGTGAAACAACGAGACATTCACTGCCCACAAGTTGTTTCAACCGTCACAACATGTTTTCATCATGGGGTTTGAATAGCGCTGTGGTGATGAAATCGAAAAATAAAGGAACGCTTGAATTTCCTGTGATATCTCTCTCTCTTCTGCCCACAAGTCTGTTTCATCATCTCGTCACAACATCTCAAGGCGTCTAGAAATATACAGGAAAATCTCGTTCCTTTATTATTTCTCTCTGTCTCTCTCTCTTTCTCTCTCTCTTTTCTCTCTCTCTCTCTCTGTCTCTCTCTCTCTCTCTCTCTCTCTTTCTCTCTTTCTCTCTCTCTCTTTCTCTCTCTCTCTCTCTCTCTCTCTCTCTCTCTCTCTCTCTCTTTCTCTCTCTCTCTCTCTCTCTCTCTCTCTCTCTCTCTCTCTCTCTCTCTCTCTCTCTATGTATATATATATATATATATATATATTTGACTTGATTCATAAGTATGTTCGCGCGTTATCTTATTAAAAGTAAACTTTGACTTTCCTGTGGCATGTGGTTCTGATGTACACCTGGAATAATCACTATTTGATCTCTGAACAATCGGCAGAATCGTACAACGGAAACCTATGATTATGAGTTGCGTGGCATTTATTTAGAGTCAGTGATGTTGCTGGAATATTTCTCTCTCTCCTCTCTCTCTCTCTCTCTCTCTCTCTCTCTCTCTCTCTCTCTCTCTCTCTCTCTCTCTCTCTCTCTCTCTATATCTATATATATATATTTGACTTGATTCATACGTATGTTCGCGCGTTATCTTATTAAAAGTAAACTTTGACTTTCCTTTGCATGTGGTTCTGATGTACACCTGGAATAATCACTATTTGATCTCTGAACAATCGGCAGAATCGTACAACGGAAACCTATGATTATGAGTAGCGTGGCATTTATTTAGAGTCAGTGATGTTGCTTGAATATTGCTGAATGCAGGGTGAAGGAGCACACATTTATTCATTTACTACAGAAACTACTTCACAAAATACCACTTATGTAAAACTGGAAGTGAATGAGTGAGTGAGTTGGGTTTCACACCGTCTATAGCAATATTCCAGCAATATCACGGCGGTGAAATTGAAAATAAACTCGGGATAGACATACGATTTTTATAGTCGCTGAAGTGAATATACAACAAGACAGAGGGTCGAACACATTTCCGAGGACTCACTTCTTGCAGCCGTAGTCTTCCAAGACGTAGGCTACGTCATAACGGGGATTGGTGGCAGTCAAGTACTTGTCGATGGCGTCGCAGGGGTGGACGTCATTCAGGCATATGTCGTCTATACATCTTTTAATGATCGTCAGAAACTGTTCGCGGTTCATTTCTCTGGACAGGCATGATCCACTGTCTCCGAAGGTAAATTGTCCGCAGACAATTCCCATGTCGTGCAAGTGTTCCTCTTTACAGAAACTTGCGGAAGCGCTGACGTCCTTGCATGGTCTGAAATCAGGATATATAAAACGAGAACGACAATAAGACTCAAGGGCCCTTTGCTTAAACGTGTCTTGCTTTGTTTCGGTTGGTTGGTTTGTTGTTTAACGCCGCACTCAGCGATATTCCAGCTAAGGCAGCGGTCTGTAGATAATCGAGTCTGTACCAGACAATCCAGTGATCTACAGCATAGCATCGATCTACGAAACTGGGAACCGATGACGTGTGTCAATCAAGTCAGCGAGCCTGACCACCCGATCCTGTTAGTCGCCTCTTACGAGAAGCATGGGTTCCTGAAGACCTATTCTGACCAGGAGCTCCACGGATGCTTTGTTTCGGAAAATATAAACTTCTGTGCACATACATTCCTTCTTAGAACATGGGGTTTGGTTGTGGCCGTGGGTCTGAGAAAGAAAAACTGGATAGAGAGTGTGTAGAGAGTGTGGATATCAGGTACTTAGTGTAGAAAGTGTGGATATCAGGTACTTAGTGTAGAAAGTGTGGATATCAGGTACCTTAGTGTAGAAAGTGTGGATATCGGGTACTTAGTGTAGAAAGTGTGGATATCGGGTACTTAGTGTAGAAAGTGTGGATATCGGGTACTCAGTGTAGAAAGTGTGGATATCGGGTACTTAGTGTAGAAAGTGTGGATATCGGGGTACGTAGTGTAGAAAGTGTGGATACTGAGTGTAGGGTACGGGTTAGTGTAGAAAGTGTGGATATGTACTTAGTGTAGAAAGTGTGGATATCGGGTGTGGATAGTGTAGTAGAAGTGTGGATAGAGGGTACTTAGTGTAGAAAGTGTGGATATCGGGTACTTAGTGTAGAAAGTGTGGATATCGGGTACTTAGTGTAGAAAGTGTGGATATCCGGTACGTAGTGTAGAAAGTGTGGATATCGGGTACTTAGTGTAGAAAGTGTGGATATCGTGTAGAAAGTGTGATAGAAGAGTGTGGATATCAGGTGCTTAGTGTAGAAAGTGTGGATGGGAAGTTAGTGTAGAATATCGGGTACTTATTGAGTGTAGAGTGTAGAAAGTGGATATCGGGTAAAGTGTAGAAAGTGTGGATATCGGGTACTTAGTGTAGAAAGTGTGGATATCGGGTACTTAGTGTAGAAAGTGTGGATATCGGGTACGTAGTGTAGAAAGTGTTGGATATCAGGGTACTTAGTGTAGGAAAGTGGATATGGATATCGTTGAAAGTGGGTACTTAAGTGTAGAGAAGTGTGGATATCGGGTACTTAGTGTAGAAAGTGTGGATATCGGGTACTTAGTGTAGAAAGTGTGGATATCGGGTACTAGAAAGTGTGGTGTAGAAAGTGTGGATATCAGGTACTTTAGTGTAGAAAGTGTGGATATCGGGTACTTAGTGTAGAAAGTGTGGATATCGGGTACTTAGTGTAGAAAGTGTGGATATCAGGTACTTAGTGTAGAAAGTGTGGATATTGGGTACTTAGTGTAGAAAGTGTGGATATCGGGTACTTAGTGTAGAAAGTGTGGATATCGGGTACTTAGTGTAGAAAGTGTGGATATCGGGTACGTAGTGTAGAAAGTGTGGATATCTGGTACTTAGTGTAGAAAGTGTGGATATCGGGTACTTTGTGTAGGAAATATTGGTATCGGGTACTTAGTGTAGAGAGTATGGATAGGGGATACTTTCTGTAGAAGGTATAAACATTGGATACTTTGTATAAAAAGGATGGATATTGGGTACTTAGTGTAGAAAGTGTGGATAGCGGGTACTTAGTGTAGAAAGTGTGGATATCAGGAAGGTGTTTGTTGGTGCAACATACAGGTAGAATTTAAGATACTTACGGGTAGAAAGAGTGTACTTCGTGGACGCTGTGGAGAAACATTTCCACGAGGTCCTTCCCCCGTGGATTTTTTACCGTGAATTTGGAGTTAGGGGCTTCTGGGGCATCGGCTGGCATGCATGCCCCAATGGGGAGAAAGGTGTGTTTTGGAAGCTCCACAACAACAGCGCCATCTTGCGCCCGGAAATTAATCCTGGCATCGTCACATTCCGGAAGGACTATTTCTAGAAATCCTTCATCATTGCGAGTGTATTTCATGTCGATCTTGTCACTAAACTGGAGCAAGAGCAGAATATTGACGATGAGAGTGATTGTCAGTGTTCAAGTAATGTTAGGAAATAGTGAGTGAGTGAGTTTAGTTTTACGCCGCTTTTAGCAATATTCCAGTAATGCCACGGCGGGGGACATCAGTAATAGGCTTCACAGATTGTACCCATAAGAGGAATCGAACTCGGTTCTCAGGCGTGACGAGCGAATGCTTTAATCACTAGGCTACCCTACCGCCCCTGTTAGGAAATAGCCTCGATAGTGACTTGCTTTCTATTTTAAGATAACTTGCATTCTTGGTGACTTACATAAAACAAACAGAAATGTTTTTTACGATGATGATGCATATTAGACGACCAGCATGGTTGTGTTTTCGACCGTTTCAGCGACTGTTTTTAGCTAAGTATAGTGATGTTTTTTCTCGTAAACTACCGGCCAAAACAAAGTTATCACTTTTAATGTTATTGTATAAAAAACGAAAAGCGAAAGTACAGGTTTGAACCCAAGCAGAACACATTCGCCAAAACGCAACATGCCAGCGTATACCATCTGCAGCGAACCGGCAGACACCTGAACAGACTCTCTTGCACATATGGAACAGGAATCCTGCTGACGTCATCCGCCGACTGACGACGTCAATGAGGAGAAATGTGTGTATGTATGGATGCCCAGGGTGGTCATACTAGCTATTGATGACGTGTCCCCTGACTTCTGTCTCATTATGTGACTCTTTATGCACTTTTTGAATGACCTCTGATTTGTGTAATTTTTAATTTTGACCCCTTAACTTTTTCTTAATAATTGCTGCAGATGCAAGATAAGCATTGCGATGTATGTTCTGTCAAAATATTGGAAAATGATTCCTGTTTGTAAAATATTTATCATATATCTCACATACGTCTTTGTCTCTATTGTTTGGTCAAGTGAAGTCGGTGATAACCTTCTTTTGCCCGGTAGTTTATTTCGTCAAATCCAACTTTAAGTATACATATAATTAATTTTTTGTCAGAAAGACTGACTGATTTCGTGTTGTATACCAGCGATCGTAGGCATGACGGCACCAAGAATCGAACCCTCCACCACTGGATGATAGCACACCTAAGGGACGTAACTCTTAATCGAGACATCGGAGTTTAAACCACCCCGTTCATTCTCTGAATCAATTGAAGGCTGTTAGGTCAGCATTATAATTTTCTGTGTTTCTCATCGCCCGACCAACCCTTCTAATTTTAGTTACCTTGTTATCACCAAGAATTTTATTAAGTTTTCTTTTTCCGGACCGACCGACCCATGTTCAGAATTTGGTGGCTACGTGAAACACATTAAAAAAATGAAGCCCTTATATCGTTTCCGAAACACGTTATTTCCCTTACCTCTGTTCCATTTCATTTATCGCAAGATAGGTCAGCTTGTTGTCCTTGATGATGGTGACATTCAGATTTTCCAGCTTTATGTAGGACTTTTTCTCGTACATTTCGTCGGTACTGGCGCCGTTGATGATAAAGGCGCATCCGGACTCAGTCTCTGTTTCCATGATCCGGTGCTCACACGGCAGGAGCATCTTGTAGAAGGGGTGGCCTCCCATTGGTTGGATCTGGGGATCCCCGTACTCAATACACAGGTGGTGCTCATCTGAATAGAGGATGTAGGGTGTTGAGAAGTATGTATGTCTATAGAATGGCTCGTGTGTAAGCAGAGTCATTAAAGTTGGGATGTGTGTCAATAGTGTTGGATGTGTGACAATAGAATGGTATTTGTGACCACATTGTGGGATGTGTGTCAATAGTGTGGGATGTGTGACAATAGTGAAGGATATGTATCACTAGTGCTGGATCTGTGACAATAGTGTGGGATGTGTATCCATAGTGTGGGATGTGTTTCCATAGTGTGGGATGTCTGTCAATTGTGTGGGATGTGCAACAATTGTGTGGGATGTGTAACAATAGTGTGGGATGTGTAACAATAGTGTGGGATGTGTAACAATAGTGTGGGATGTGTGACAATAGTGTGGGATGTGTGTCAATAGTGTGGGATGTGTGACAATAGTGTGGGATGTGACAGCAGTGTGGGATGTGTAACAATAGTGTGGGAGTGTGTGGGATGTGTGACAATAGTGTGGGATGTGTGACAATAGTGTGGGATATGTGACAATAGTGTGGGATGTGTGACAATAGTGTGGGATGTGTGTCCATAGTGTGGGATGTGTGACAATAGTGTGGGATGTGTGACAATAGTGTGGGATGTGTGTCAATAGTGTGGGATATGTGACAATAGTGTGGGATGTGTGTCCATAGTGTGGGATGTGTGTCCATAGTGTGGGATGTGTGACAATAGTGTGGGATGTGTAACAATAGTGTGTAACAATAGTGTGGGATGTGTGACAATAGTGTGGGATGTGTGACAATAGTGTGGGATGTGTGACAATAGTGTGGGATGTGTGTCAATAGTGGGATGTGTGACAATGGGATGTGTGTCCATAGTGTTGGATGTGTGACAATAGTGTAATGGGATGTGTGACAATAGTGTGGGATGTGTGACAATAGTGTGGGATGTGTGACAATAGTGTTGGATGTGTGTCCATAGTGTTGATGTGTGACAATAGTGGGATGTGTGACAGCATAGATGTGTGACAATAGCGTATGTGTAACAATAGTGTGGGATGTGTGACAATAGTGTGGGATGTGTGACAATAGTGTGGGATGTGTGACAATAGTGTGGGATGTGTGACAATAGTGTGGGATGTGTGTCCATAGTGTGGGATGTGTGACAAGTGTTGGATGATGTGTGACAATAGTGTGGGATGTGTGTCAATAGTGTGGGATGTGTGACAATAGTGTGGGATGTGTGACAATAGTGTGTAACAATATGTGTGTGACAATAGTGGGATGTGTATTGTCCATAGTGTTGGATGTGTGACATAGTGTGGGATGTGTGTCCATAGTGTGGGATGTGTGTCAATAGTGTGGGATGTGTGTCAATAGTGTGGGATGTGTGTCAATAGTGTGGGATGTGTAACAATAGTGTGGGATATGTAACAATAGTGTTGGTGTGGGATGTGTGACAATAGTGTGGGATGGACAATAGTGTGACAGCAGTGTGGGATGTGTGTCAATAGTGTGGGATGTGTGACAATAGTGTGGGATGTGTGACAATAGTGTGGGATGTGTGACAATAGTGTGGGATGTGTAACAATAGTGTGGGATGTGTGACAATAGTGTGGGATGTGTGTCCAATAGTGTGGGATGTGTGACAATAGTGTGGGATGTGTGACAATAGTGTGGGATGTGTAACAATAGTGTGGGATGTGTGACAATAGTGTGGGATGTGTGACAATAGTGTTAACAATAGTGTTGGATGTGTGACAATAGTGTGGGATGTGTAACAATAGTGTGGGATGTGTGACAATAGTGTGGGATGTGTGTCAATAGTGTGGGATGTGTGACAATAGTGTGGGATGTGTGACAATAGTGTGGGATGTGTATCCACAATGTGGGATGTGTGACAGCAGTGTGGGATGTGTGACAATAGTGTGGGATGTGTGACAATAGTGTGGGTGTTGGATGTGTGACAATAGTGTGGGATGTGTGTCCATAGTGTGGGATGTGTGACAATAGTGTGGGATGTGTGTCCATAGTGTGGGATGTGATAGTGTGGGATGTGTCAATAGTGTGGGATGTGTGACAATAGTGTGGGATGTGTGTCAATAGTGTGGGATGTGTGACAATAGTGTGGGATGTGTGTCAATAGTGTGGGATGTGTGTCCATAGTGTGGGATGTGTGTCCAATAGTGGGTGTGGATAGTGTTGGATGTGTGGGATAGTGTGGGATGTGTGTCAAGTAGTGTGGATGACAATAGTGTGGGATGTGTGTCCATAGTGTGGGATGTGTGACAATAGTGTGGGATGTGTGACAATAGTGTGGGATGTGTAACAATAGTGTGGGATGTGTAACAATAGTGTTGGATGTGTGACAATAGTGTGGGATGTGTGACAATAGTGTGGGATGTGTGTCAATAGTGTGGGATGTGTGACAATAGTGTGGGATGTGTGACAATAGTGTGGGATGTGTGACAATAGTGTGGGATGTGTGACAATAGTGTAATGTGTGACAATAGTGTGGGATGTGTGACAATAGTGTGGGATATGTAACAATAGTGTTGGATGTGTGACAATAGTGTGGGATGTGTGTCCATAGTGTGGGATGTGTGACAATAGTGTGGGATGTGTGACAATAGTGTGGGATGTGTGACAATAGTGTGGGATATGTGTCAATAGTGTGGGATGTGTGACAATAGTGTGGGATGTGTGACAATAGTGGGTGGGATAGTGTGTGTGTCAATAGTGTGGGATATGTGTGTCAATAGTGTGGGATGTGTAACAATAGTGTGGGATGTGTGACAATAGTGTGGGATGTGTGTGGACAATAGTGTGGGATGTGTGACAATAGTGTGGGATGTGTGACAATAGTGTGGGATGTGTGTCAATAGTGTGGGATGTGTGTCCATAGTAGTGACAATGGGATGTGTGACAATAGTGTGGGATGTGTCACAATAGTGTGGGAGTGTGTGTCAATAGTGTGGGATGTGTGACAATAGTGTGGGATGTGTGTGTAACAATAGTGGTGTGGGTGTCCATAGTGTGGGATGTGTGTCAATAGTGTGGGATGTGTGTCAATAGTGTTGGATATGTGTCCATAGTGTGTGGATGTGTGTCAATAGTGTGGGATGTGTGTCCATAGTGTGGGATGTGTGTCAATAATGTGTGGGATGTGTGTGACAATAGTGTGGGATGTGTGTCAATAGTGTGGGATGTGTGTCAATAGTGTGGGATGTGTCCATAGTGTGGGATGTGTGTCAATAGTGTGGGATGTGTGTCAATAGTGTGGGATATGTGTCCATAGTGTGGGATGTGTGTACAATAGTGTGGGATGTGTCAATAGTGTGGGATATGTGTCCATAGTGTGGGATGTGTGACAATAGTGTGGGATGTGTGTCCATAGTGTGGGATGTGTGTCAATAGTGTGGGATGTGTGTCCATAGTGTGGGATGTGTGTCCATAGTGTGGGATGTGTGTCCATAGTGTGGGATGTGTGTCCAATAGTGTGGGATGTGTGTCCATAGTGTGGGATGTGTGTCAATAGTGTGGGATGTGTGTCCATAGTGTGGGATGTGGGATGTGTGTCAGTTTAGTGTGGGATGTGTGTCCATATGGGTGTGTCCATAGATGAATGTGTGTGTCCAGGAAGTGTGGGATGTGTGTCAATAGTGTGGGGATGTGTCCATTGTCTGGATTTGTAGTTGTGTGGGATGTGTGTGATGAATTTCTGTGTTAATAGGATTCTTATGTTTATGTGTGTCCATAGTGTGGGATATGTGTCCACATAGTGTGGGATGTGTGTGTGCACGTCAAGCCGAAACATTGCTCGTCTAGCAAGTGTGAACAAAATGATCATGACCCCCTGAAATCACATGTGTGTGGAAGTAATGGAGTGTGGGATGTGTGTCCCATAGTGTGGGATGTGTGAAAACATGTATAACAAATAACAATGGGATATGTAAAACAAACATGAGGAGGCCAGTGATTCACTAAAACAACATGGTTATTGATGGGTCATAAAAGTGAGACAGTAATTGATAGGGTATAGAATAACACAGGGAAGCCAGTGATACAGTGATACCGTATAAACCATTCGTGTTATTCCGGGACAAGCCGAATAGCGACTCGTGCCCCTCTGGAAGGATTTCATATTGGCGCATGAACATACGAACTACTTTAAACAAGAACGATAACTCTATCCCTGTTTGATTCCAATGTTTCTTTTAAAATCACCGAACCACTCGTACACTGTATTGCTGTTTTTTGTATTTACTTATTTATTTTAAAGAATCAAACCTCTTTGATACAACTAAAAGGAGAAAAACATATTTGTTAAAGACATACGAGTATTCTAATGTAATTGTTACAAGTTGTTCACCTAATATTTCCAATTATATTAATTTTCCAGATAGGGTTTAATAATCACAAATGGGAATATGTTTTATTGAATATAAAAATAAATATAATCTTTTTAGCTACATCAAATCCCAAAGCAGATACTCAAAAATGACTTTAAAATATTTCTCAAACTGAACATTCCTGTAACGTTGCTGAAAAACATATGAATGACCGAAAAAAGGCCAGACTAAAACATCCTCAGTGATGTGAAATGTAAGCCCAATGTTAAAGATTAAAGTTGATAAGTAACATACAGATATAATATTGCGTGCGTGTATTTGAATCTTTCACCGTCAATCGCATGATTCTTATCAAAAACTTCACATTAGACAGCACAATTCTGTTAGCTACGTTCTTAGTACTTTCAATAAGACGATATATATTTTTCATGATTTTTTAAACAATAACATAATGCCATAAACGATTTAAGTAGTCGGGATTATTGTTATCAAAGCACCGCAACCATTACGCGCGTTCCGATTGGTTTGTTGTATTTTTGCACATTACAAGCATCGAGTTGGACGAATCTTCTTGGAGGTTACGGAAAGGGGCCAGTGGTGACGAATGCGTATAAACATGAGCTAAGGGAGGCCAGTATGCACTACAAACAAGCGACCACTCGGCTGATGGGGTAGGTGATAAGCATGGGTGATGTATGTATATATATACTCATGCCAATAATGGTTGTCACCCCTCCCCACCCCAACCCCCAACACACCTCACACCCCACCCCACACCCCTCTCCAATTAAAAAGATTGAAGGGGGTGACAACCATTATTGGCATGTGTATAGTATGACCAGAAATTATTGAGAATTTTAGGAATATGTTTAATTGGATTTCTAGTAAAAACAACCTTGACCAGCTATCAAGTGCTTGGTTTCATTTAAGAGAGACAACTCCGTTAATCCTTTTTCATTAGTTTGTGAAGAGTTATCCCCCTTTGTTTACTTGCTAGCAGACGACATTTTCAGTGATCCTCAGTATGGATGATTTAGAGAAGAGGAAGTTGATTTTAGAGTATTATAACAAGGACATCAAATCAGCTAAAGTTATTTCAAGTAGAACAGGCATCCCTTTGTCCACTGTTTATCGTGTTTTGCAAATGGATATGGCACTGAGCACCAGGGAGGCGCAGGTAGGCCCAGAAAATTGACTGTCGGTGACAGGAGGAGGCTTGGTATTCTTGTTTCTCAAAACAAACGAAGGGGTTTAGAAAACTTAAGGCTGGATATGATTGATAGAGGAACTGTGGCTGTCTGTAAGGAGACAATTAGAACTGAGCTGCATGCAATGGGATGGCAGAAAAGTCGAGGAATTCCATCACCGATCATGAAACCTGAACAAAAGGAGCGAAGGTTGAACTGGTGCTTACGGCATAGGAATTTTAACTGGGACAATGTGACTTTCTCAGATGAAAGTGTGTGGCTGTGTGGCTGTTTCCTAATACACTGAAATTCTGGACCAAACAAAGTGAAACACCTTTGTTTCAGCGCCGCAAGTACAGTCCGAAATTTAACGTGTGGGGTGGCAGGCACGCATAGTGAGCAAACTCATCGAACTGCGGTTCATATACTATTCGGTTATCCTATTTCGTTACATAACATAGTATGACTTGAAATAGGAGTGGGTTAGTTAGTTTAATTTAACCCCGCTTTTAGCAATATTCCAGCAATATCACGGCGGAGGGACACCAGAAATGATCTTCATACTCTGTACCCATGTGGAGAATCGAACCCGGGTCGGCGTGACGAGCGAACGCTTTAACCACAAGGCTACCCCACCGCCCTTATGAAACAACATACCCATTCTTGGAGCTAAAGGTACTTTAGCATAGAGTGCATTTGTAAATGATGAATCTGATAGGGAGCTGGATGAAATTCATGCGTGTTGGTAGATACCACACGTGAATACTCGACTGGAATTAATTTATTCTTTTTCAAAATTAAAACGAAATATGAATAAAGTGTCAGCGCAGGTGTTCCTGATCGATTGGCTAACTTGATACCTGCTGCCAACTGGTCTTCTGCAACCGAAGATCTGGCTTATAATAATTGGTTTGTAATATCCATATACATGTTTGTCCCCATAAAAGATCCAGGTTAGAAGTGATCTTCAGCTATTAAATTTTTTTCTCCTTGAAGATCCAGGCTATGAACTGGTCTTCATCAACTGATCCGTACCCCGTAAAGATCCAAGACAGACCATTTCTTAAGCAAGCGATGTTTGTCCCGTGAAGATCCAGGTTAGAACTAGTCTTCAGACATCGATGTTAGTACCCTGTAAAGATCCAGGTTAGAAGTGGTCTTTAGCAACTGATGTTTGTACCCCGTAAAAGATCCAGTATAGACCATTTCTTTAGTAAGCGATGTTTGTACCCTGGGAAGATCCAGGATAGACCATTTCTTTAGTAAGCGATGTTTGTACCCTGGGAAGATCCAGGATAGACCATTTCTTTAGTAAGCGATGTTTGTACCCTGGGAAGATCCAGGATAGACCATTTCTTAAGTAAGCGATGTTTGTACCCCGTAAAAGATCCAGTATAGACCATTTCTTTAGTAAGCGATGTTTGTACCCTGGGAAGATCCAGGATAGACCATTTCTTTAGTAAGCGATGTTTGTACCCTGGGAAGATCCAGGATAGACCATTTCTTAAGTAAGCGATGTTTGTACCCTGGGAAGATCCAGGTTACGACTGGTCGAAAGTAAGCGATGTTTGTACCCTGGGAAGATCCAGGATAGACCATTTCTTAAGTAAGCGATGTTTGTACCCTGGGAAGAGCCAGGTTACGACTGGTTGAAAGTAAGCGATGTTTGTACCCTGGGAAGATCCAGGTTACGACTGGTCGAAAGTAAGCGATGTTTGTACCCGAGAAGATCCAGGTTGGAACTTGTATTCAGGCACCGATGTTTGTACCCTGGGAAGATCCAGGTTACGACTGGTCGAAAGTAACCGATGTTTGTACCCTGGGAAGATCCAGGTTGGAACTTGTCTTCAGGCACCGATGTTTGTACCCTGGGAAGATCCAGGTTGGAACTTGTCTTCAGGCACCGATGTTTGTACCCATAGAAGATCCGGACGATGAATTGGTTTGAAGCAACCGATGTTTGTCCCCCCTGAAGATCTAGATCAGAACAGGGATGTAGCCACAGATGTTTGTCCCCGTGAAGATTCTGAAGCCCCCCCCCGTAAATATTTAGGTTAGAATTGGTCATTAGCAACCCAAGGTACATGTGTTTGCCTTGTGGAGATCCAGGATGTGATAGGTCTGCAGTAACAAATGTTATTCTTCCGTGAAGATCCAGTGCAGAATAAGTCATTAGCCACAGATGCCCATGCCACTTTCCTAATTTTTCCGAACTGATGAAAGAGAGAAATACACTAAACGCCCAAGGAGTTAAATTGTCCCATTTTCGACCCATGAAGAAATAAACCAATAACAGTGATTTAGGTGTCCAAAAGAAAGGTTGAATTAAATAACAGGGTTATTAGTCGAGAAAGCACGTGGTCATTGGTGAAGCGGAGAATCGTCGACGACCTCAAAGACCGAGGACACCCAATGGCTTTGATAACAGACTCCTAATATGTCTGGAAACCCATGACCAATGGCGAAGAACAGACAGAGGTTGCGTCCAATCAGACACCTCTTCCTCCCAGACTGACACAGGCAGAAACGTATGTCGTGGTGCAGGCTCCGAGAAAATACCTGCACACATGGCGTTGAGTTCACTGGTCTGATGGGGGTTGCTGTCTTCGTGTATGAAGACCTCGTAACAGGGGATATCACCAGAAGTATACATATTGCATTGCTGTGAATATTGCACCTTGAATGTTTGCAACAGTAATAAATAACATGCCTTGAATGATAGTAACGGTTGTAAATAACGTCCCTTGAATGATAGTAACGGTTGTAAATGCCTTGACTGATTATAACAGTTGTACATAGCCTCCCTTGAAGAATGGTAACGGTTGTAAGTACCAATTCTTGATGATGGTAACGGTTGTAAATACCTTGAATGAATGTTACAGCTGTAAATACCAATCTTTGAATAATAGCAGTGATTGTAAATAACCTCCCTTGAATGATAGTTGCAGTTGTAAATGCCTTGAATGATTATAACAGTTGTAAATAACAACCCTTTAATGGTTGTAACAGTTGTAAATAGCCTCCCTAGAAGAATGGTAACCGTTGTAAGTACCAATTCTTGAATGATGGTAGCGGTTGTAAATACCTTGAATGAATGTTACAGCTGTAAATACCAATCTTTGAATGATAGTAGTGATTGTAAATAACATGCCTTGAATGATAGTCGCAGTTGTAAATGCCTTGAATGATTAATACAGTTGTAAATAACAACCCTTTAATGGTTGTAACAGTTGTAAATAGCCCCCATAGAAGAATGGTAACGGTTGTAAGTACCAATTCTTGAATGATGGTAACGATTGTAGATACCAACGCTTGAATGATTGTAACAGCTGTAAATACCAATCCTTCAGTGTTTGTAACAGTTGTAAATAGCGTCCCTTGAAGGACGGTAACGGTTGTAAATACCAATTCTTGAATGATAGTAGCGGTTGTAAATACATTGAATGATTGTAAAAGTTGTAATTATCAATCCTTGAATGATTCTAACAGTTGTAAATAGCCTCCCTTGAAGGATGGTAACGGTTGTAAATATCAATTTATGAATGATAGTAGCGGTTGTAAATACCTAACAGCTGTAAATACCAATCCTTGCATGATAGTAGCGGTTGTAAATATCTTGAATGAATGTAACTGTTGTAAATAGCCTCAAGGGTTGTAAATACGATACCTTGAAACGTGATAAAGGTTGTCAATAGCCTCACTTGATAGATGATGACGGTTGTAAATACCCTGCCCTTCAGAATTGTGTTGGTTGTAAATACCAATCCTTTAATGATTGTAACAGCTGTATATACCCAATTTTAAACAATTGTAAACCATAAACAATCGTAAAGGTTGTTAAGACCAATACTTAAAAGATTGTAACAGCTACAAATGCTCTATTTTGGAATTAGAGTTAACTGTTCGAAATTAACAATCTTGAGTGATGTAAATTCCTCACCTTGAATGATCGTAATGGTTGTAAATTCCCTCAGGTGTGGCAAAGCAGTTTTCTCGTCTGACACCAGGTGAAGTAAGAACGTTTCATCCTCTTCTATCCCCTGCCAAAGATCGTGCAAGTTTTAGAACACGTGTATGTGTGCTGTTGTGTGTTTGAAGTTGTGGTGGTACGTGTGTGTATGTGCGTAGTGTGTGTGTTGTGTGGTGTGGTGGTGTGTATTTGTAATATCTGTGTGGCGAGATGGTGTGGGTGTGTGCGTAGTCTGTTGGCGTGGTGGGGTGGAGTATGTGCGCGTGTAAGTGTAGTGTAGTACGTGTGGTGCGTATGGCGCAGTGGTGGTATGTTTAATATGCTGTGGTGTGGTGTGGTGTGGTGTGGTGTGTGGTTTATGTGGTCTGGTGTGGTGTGGTTTGGCTTCGTGTGGTGTGGTATTGTGTGGTGTATGTGTTGTGTTGTGGTGTGCTGTGGTGTGTGGTTTATGTGGTCTGGTGTGGCGTGGCGTGGCGTGGCGTGGTGTGGTGTGGTGTGGTGTGGTGTGTGGTTTATGTGGTCTGGTGTGGTGTGGTTTGGTGTGGTGTATGTGGTGTGGTGTATGTGGTGTGGTGTATGTGTATGTGGTGTGGTGTGGTGTGGTTTTCGTGTAGGTGGTGTGGTGTATGTGTATGTGGTGTGGTGTGGTATGGTGTATGTGGTGTTGTGTCGTGTATGTGGTGCGGTGTGGTGTGGTGTGGTGTGGTGTGGTGTGGTGTGGTGTGGTGTGGTGTGGTGTGGTGGTGTGTATTTGTAATATCTGTGTGGCGAGATGGTGTGGGTGTGTGCGTAGTCTGTGGGCGTGGTGGGGTGGAGTATGTGCGCGTGTAAGTGTTGTGTAGTACGTGTGGTGCGTATGGCGCAGTGGTGGTATGTTTAATGTGCTGTGGTGTGGTGTGGTGTGGTGTGGTGTGGTGTGGTGTGGTGTGGTGTGGTGTGGTGTGGTGTGGTGTGGTGTGGTGTGGTGTGTGGTTTATGTGGTCTGGTGTGGTGTGGTTTGGCTTCGTGTGGTGTGGTATTGTGTGGTGTATGTGTTGTGTTGTGGTGTGCTGTGGTGTGTGGTTTATGTGGTCTGGTGTGGCGTGGCGTGGTGTGGTGTGGTGTGTGGTTTATGTGGTCTGGTGTGGTGTGGTGTGGTTTGGTGTGGTGTATGTGGTGTGGTGTATGTGTATGTGGTGTGATGTGGTGTGGTGTGGTGTGGTGTCGTGTAGGTGGTGTGGTGTATGTGTATGTGTGTGGTGTGGTATGGTGTATGTGGTGTTGTTTCGTGTATGTGGTGTGGTGTGGTGAGGTGTGGTGTGGTGTATGAGGTGTGGTGTGGGGTATGTGGTGTGGCGTGGTGTGGTGTGAGGTTAATGAGGTGTGGTGTCGTGTGGTGAGGTGTGGTGTGGTGTATGTGGTGTGGTGTCGTGTAGTGTTGTGTGGTGTGATGTGGTGTGGTGAGGTGTGGTGTGATGTATGTGGCGTGGTGTACTGTGGTGTGGTGTGGTGTATATGGTCTGTTGAGATGTGGTTTGGTGTGGTTTGGTGTGGTGCGTTGTGGTGTGGTGAGGTGGTGTTTGGTGTTTGTAGGTGAGGTGTGGTGAGGTGTGGTGTGGTGTGATGTGGTGTGGTGTGGTGTGGTGTGGTGTGGTGTGGTGTGGTGTGGTGTGGTGTGGTGTGGGGTGGGTGGTTTATATGGTCTGTTGAGGTGTCGTGTATGTGGTGTGGTGTGGTGTGGTGTGGTGAGGTGGTGTTTGGTGTTTGTTGGTGATGTGTGGTGTGGTGAGGTGTGGTTCGGTGAGGTGTTGTGTGGTGTGGTCTGGTGTGATGTGGTGTGGTGTGATGTGGTGTTGTGTATGTGTATGAGTAGTGTGTGCCTCAAGTTCACAACACAAAATATTTTCACGTTACGAGCATGTTATCCTGATGTGAAACCGTGTTGTGGTTTGAACTGGAATAGTGGGTGCGTGGATGAGAGCCAAATTCCAGAACAAATCACATAGGGGAACTGACACTGGGAACGATCGAAAGCTTTAAGCAACAGGCTACAGGGGCGGATCCAGGAGTTTAGAGTAGGGGGTGTACATAAACCATGAAGTCCAAATGTTAGGGGGAAATGATCATCAGGATCATCACCTATTTACTTACATCATCAGTCTCAATGAAGAGTGTGATGGTTCGCACACTCTTTTCTTTTGAAAACACGATAGATCCGTTTGTGGGCGTGACATCCACCCCCGGCGTAGCAGCGTTGGTGACATTACGGTGTTCTTTCAGGTGCCATTTCACGACGAAGCTGTCTGCTATTTCGAAATTTTCAGTGTCAACGAAATAGTTGGTGACGTCGATATCGAGACGCCCAATTGATTCTCTGATGGTGTAGAAGTCCTGCCTTGCGCTGTAGCCTTCGCCAACGGTGCCAGAAACTCGGTTGATATCTGATGATAACGAACGAGGGTATTATTACATAGTATCAGAAACTCATACAACATTTTTACTAATCCTACGTTAGGCTCGTATAGTTACAAAAGATTCATTAGGGGTCATCTACATCGATTTATTGGAAAAAGTCAAACTAAACATTTCAAGAGGATTTTGTATTTACCATCCTCAGCCAGTAATGATGCCGTTCTGGAAGAGTGCGAAGATATGGAATATATACTTACTCTATTTTTAAATTCATCTGATTCAAATACTGGACCAAAATCTTACATATGGACAACGAAAGACTCCCTAAACAGACCCACAAAATGTTTAAAAAAACTGGATGATGTCGGCAGAACTTCATCTGTTACCAACGTTATAAATGTACGTTTCCAATATGGATTTAAATATGTATGGATGTGCCAGAAAGTCGGACATATCGATGCATTTCTATCAGATTTCAAACAGTGAGTGAGAGACTCTGCAATCCAAACCTAGCACACTTCTGTGAAATCAAACTCTACACTGTATGCTTACTCGCTTTTCACGTCATCTCTAACCATAGAACATTATCTCCTTCATATTGAGAAACATATATTTAGACAAGCCCTATCAAGATTCCGATGCTCCTGTCACACCCTCATGATTGAGAAAGGACGATATCTTAACATGGAACAAGAAGACCGCTATGTGCCGCTACTGTCTACGTTTCGGAACGTATGAGACTGAAAATGAATATCAGATTTGCTTGTATGTCGTGCCTGCAAACATCTAAGAAGTAAATACCTAAAGCCTACATATCTTTCTAATCCTACAAGCAATAAATTTATTGAATTGATGTCCTCAGAATGTAAATGCGCACTTATATCTTTATAAAAAAAATATTTTCTGCATTTAAACAGCATTCATCACAAACCTGATGTCCACGTATTACCCTTTTTATGTATCGTTTTCATTCAGTATGTACAAATTATTGTCATAACGATATGTTCTGTGGGTCAATGGCCTGAAATCTAAGACAATAAACACACATAAGGGGCCATCTTCATAGCAGAATTGTATTTTTTGTTAACATATATTTACATTGTTTGTACATAATTCTCTCAACATATTCGTGTTTTGCCCCGTAGTTTCTATTTCTTTGTCGCTGTTTCCGTTTATTTTAAAAAAATGGATATTTACGTACGACAAACAATACCCCCAAACGGTAAACAATGCTTCAGATTTCAATTTAAATCCAAAGTGACAACATTATATTAGGCTTTTCATTGAAAATTAACTGAAAACAGTTCCCGACATTTACGCTGCAGTCAGATATTTATATTTTAAGATGAAAAGGGGCAGATCTTTTCAGAGGAGATGAAATATGCTTTACAAATTAAATGAAACTGAGTTAAATGCTGTGATTCATTTACGCGTGTATTGTGATATAATGATTGATTGAGTGAGTGAGTTTAGTTTTACGCCGCACTCAGCAATATTCCAGCTATATGGCTGCAGTCTGGACCAGACAATCCATTGATCAGCAGCATGAGCATCGATCTGCGCAATTGTGAACCGATGACATGTGTCAACCAAGTCAGCGAGCCTGACCACCCGATCCCGTTAGTCGCCTCTTACAACAAGCATGTGTTACTGAAGGTTCATTCTAACCCGGACCTTCATGGGTGGTATTGTGCTAAAAGCAAATGTAAGCTTCTGTACTAGTCCTAGCTTAAGCTATTTTATAGTGCTAGCCCACATCCTTGTCTTATCCCATTCATTACAGGCACGGTGACAACAAGTACCATTTTTAACGTCTTTGTTATGACGCGGTCAAAGGATCAAACCAGCCTGAAAGGTATCATGGAACCTATTCGGTGTAAGTGTGCTACATAAATGATATACCAATCTGCAGTGTAACATGGAAACAACACGTAAACCAGTATATAAGCTGGTTATAAATCCTTAGTGCGGAGCGCAGGTCCCCGGCACAACAAACTAGTGAGTTGACATACAGTGACTATCCGCCACATTCACCATGAACAATAACATAAGGTGCAAGTGCCTTATGGAACCATCAACATCATAAATCAAAATTTATCGTTATTTCCATTATGTGCACTTAACACTCATTCTCAATATAAGTGCACAATTACATATGATTCGCGTCTTCTCCATATACAATACATTTTCCGGCAAATGCTGGAGTAAAACGTTACAAGATATGATTGATTTAATTTAAAATAGAAGTGGCAACATAATAATTAACTTTAGTGTCATATTTTGCAGTCCATATTTGTTAGAAATACCCCAGCTAAGAAAGAACTTCTTAAAACAGGAATGTCGCCAACAGTGAGATGCCATGCTGAGTTGTGGAAGCGGAAATAAGTGTCTAATGACAGCACAGTATCTATACAGACAGCGTTTAAAAAGTCATACTGTTAAACATTCTCATAAATTTTATCAAAAATGAAATATTCCATTTCGCTGTTTTCATGTATTTTACGTTCTGGATTACAATTCAGCTGAAATTCAATTCTAACTTGCAGTGAACATCTGTATTATCGCATAGTTAGTTTATTTAATTATGGAATAAAAGAAAAAGAAAATTTCACATATCATATAGTGTCTTTAACTGCGAGGCTTGTTATTACTTGTAAATGTGGAGCGCAGGTACCTGACAATACAAACAAGTGAGTTAAGTAGGTTTTGCTTTTCTCAACGCTCTTGAATCTAATGATTCCACAAATTCCAGCTCACAACAGACTCGCACTAATTTGACAGTAGCTACACGGGCATTAATACAAATGCAAGTGAGCTACAGTGTCTATTGGACATTCATCCATCCGTCTATCCATCCACCCATCCATCCATTGGTGTTGAAAGTCATACACTTACCTTCGGTATCAAACCCTTGACATAATCCATGTTGTAACAACATCAACACAACAACAGATAGAGACATGGTCCACGGTGGAGCTATTGCAATACACATATTGCCAAACACACCATCGCCCTTAAAAATAGTACCAGGGCCGATCACGTGATGGCAACTTTATACCAACGCTGGTTGAATCGATTCTTGTAGAGTATTGCAATATCTTAGCAACGCCTCGTTTGGAAAACACTGCAAATATGGACAAAATACTGACTTGGTGTTTTTGGTGCATGCAATAAATTGGTTCACCAGATGACTGAAATAAATTGGATCATCATTTTGAGAGAAACTTGTGTTGAATTTTAAAGTTTTGAATTACACATTGGCCGCAGAACGTATTGACAAAATACCATGTGTTTCATTATGGTGTATACCGAGAATATCCCTGACTTCATGTATCATGGTTTCAAGGATGCTGTCAACAGATGTTGATGATGATAGCTTGGAGCAGGGTTCCAGAAGCAATAACGCCAGAGATGGCTGCAGCAGGTGTCACATTCCTACAGCCTCGGGCAACTATGTCGAACATGGCGTCACCAAAGGTGTCATCTCTGAACACCTCATCATGTGTCACGTAGTATGTATATCCAATGTACTTACTTAATGTAACCTACCATATACAATCTAAAAGCATTAGTGTTATTGCTCTGTCAATGGATCAGTGGTTACTAGAAATTCACGTTGCTTCGAGGCGCTTCACAGTTACCAGTAGTGGTGTAACGATTCATCGATAGTATCGATGTTTGCATCGTCAATTACGCGATACGAGTGCATCGATACAAAACACATTTAGGCATTATATCAGGATATGTATATGGCAAGGGTCCACGATACATCGATGTATCGCCACCAGAGACGATATATCCCGATACAACTTCAATACTAGTTAAAATTGTAAGGAGTATTGCATTAGGAATAGGAAGGGAACCTCTTTGAAATTCTTCTGAATTTTAAAAACAATTGAGCCTTTTAGGGATTTGTTTGTGTCTGTTATCTTTGTTACACGGACAAAGGAGTTGGTGTATAAGTGAAAGAGTGTGAACATTTTTCATACTCTGTCTTTAAATAATTGTCTTTAAGTAATTGAAATATGTTTTAGTTGTTTCACAAATAACGCCATTTATTAACAACTATGAACGATGTCTTAGCTTAGTTAAGAAAGAGAACAAAGAGAAGATAAAATTTAGAAAGCATACTTAAAGAGTTTTTTCAGTGATTCTGAATTCCGATATAAATTACATTCAATTGTTTGTGACAGCATCGGTGGAGAAACACACCTTCCCAAAGGAACCTTCGGTTTCAAACTTATATATGTTAGATCAAAGTATACTGAATATGTTTGACTGTACTTTAAAAGCATTAAATACCGACACTTTATTAAATGAACAGCTTTTTAAGTGTGTGTGAATGTACACAAGATCTGTTGTATAACAAATAAAGATTCAGTCATTTTATCTATCATATATGTTCTGCTATTTGAACCTGTAAAGTATCGAGATACGTATCGTATAGGCACCATTGAATCGTGATGATAATTGTCTCGCAGGTTCCTTGCCAATACTTTCATGATTTATCGTCTCGCCTAATTAAACTGGTATCGGGATATATCGTCTCGCCACTTAGACCACGATACACAGCTCTAGTTACCAGACATGGAGGGCCCGTAGGTAGGTCACGGCACTTCGTGAGACCTTAGTACTTCCGGTGACAAACAATGTTTCAGTCCATTTTCGAATGGTTTCATGGTTGTCAGTTGACAGTAAGGAACGGATAACCCTTGCAGGAATTACCGATCTAACCATCCCCAAATTAGCCAACTATTACTACTGTCAACAACTGTGACAGCCAAGCATGGTTGTACACTTGATCCGGTCTAGTAAAGTCATATTTGGAAGTCGCGCAATTTGGAATCAGAACTGGTTCTTGAATATACGCTTGTTACCGGAAATCCGGTACCGAAATTTAGCTGGGCCCCGTATCGCATATCGCAAGTTAGCGCGCGCAAAGGGAACCGGGAACCACCAACAGCTTAGTACCGGAAGGCGCGACTTACGATCCCTATTACAATCTCATTTCTACTGGGTATCGATTCATTGCTAGGTAAAGATGCACAAAGCAAAACCACACGTTGTTGGGTGTGCTTCCATTTGGAAACTCTCAGGCGTCGAGCTGGCCACCCATCCAACTATTCTCCGCCGCCAGTTATGCTTAACTCCCGCTTATATTGTGACCCGTGCTCTGTGTGCTGGACCACATACCACCAACAGCCCACGCTACTACACACTTTGGATTGCAGTTAATGTGTACATACGTTATATTTGCAAGTGCAAGGATTTACCTCTGTATATTCCGAGGACTCACTGTAAATTGTCCTGTTAATTTGATGTCAATTGGTGACCTCTTTGACCTTTATAGTCACATAGTGACATCTGGCAATCTTCACTTGACCAAGAATAATTTTGATGACATTGCATAAATCGCCCAGAAGAGCCTGGAATTTAGATTCATACGATTAAAATGAAGATGTTCAGACACCATATTGAAACGTGGAGGAGAGTTTCATCTATAGGGGTAGAGGGTTGGGTTTTGGGGTTGGTTAGGATCATGCCTTCTTTTCCTTAAGTTTTATGAATCGAGATTTGTTTCTTCATGTAAAAGAGATGAGTTTTTAACTTCATCTTTCATATTCTACACATGGATAGACTGGCAGCCTTTTCTCTCACCTTTGATTAAAAGAGGATAATTTTAAACCAGGTGATAAGATCAATACTTCTTCCACGTATTCTCCATGCGAGTAATCGTACTATCACGTGAGTGTCATCATCTGCAACATCCATCCTCACACGTGAATATATGCTTGTCGTGAGTGGCCACGTCACCTGATCGAATGGCTGGACTCAATAACTTGCTTGCTGGATATTTTGCGTGTTCATTCCCAAGTTAAAACTAATACAGTAGTAGAACGGAAGTCAATCCGTAAATGAACTTGATGTGAAACGGAAAACAACAAGGCAATGTGACATTATTACAATTGTAATCTAAAATTCAAGTTAATCATTTACCACTTTTGTGAAACTCACAAACACTGATAACAGACACGAGATTACAATGAGAGCAAGTGTAAGGTTGAGACCAACCACACGGTAGTACTTCTTCATCTTCATAAAATTGTGTGTTTTTTCAGTATGGAACTTGTGGAAGCGTTAGTAGTGTTTTGCCTTTTCCGGGTGGCATCTATTTCGCAGATAATCGAGACTGGGTATTTTATGTTATTCATTGATTTTCTTTGAAAAGATGTATTTTACTTAATTTAATAATAGTTATTAATAGGAGATAAAACCTTACGATCATAGACAACCGTTTGTGAATTAAAATCAATAATATAAAATATATAAATAAATGATAATTATTTCTTTAATTAAATTATTATTTTTGGATATTTATATAGCGCACATATCCACGCACTAGTGCATGCTCAAGGCGCTGGTATTTATTCCCTCGATCATTGGATGCCAATCTCAACGGCACATCGTATGATCAATCTCAACTCCCTGGGGATCATACTCTTGCAGCCACTAGGCGCAACGAGTTATTGCGGCTTTCACATCCTAACGAGGTACCCATTCACAGCTGGGTGGACTGGGACACATAGTCACAGTACTTTGTCCAAGTTCACTGCACGTTGCTGTACCCGCAACTAGGTGTTTACACGCATTCATGTGGCCACCATCTGGTCATATACCAACGGATTCATGGGTTCTTTTAAGTGCACAGGGTTGTGTACTGGACACTAGGGGTTGTGACAACACTGAAAGAGTCTGCACACAAAGTTGACTCCAAGGTTTTTACACCCGGTCTCAGGTGGGCTCGATCCCGGCACCTCAACCTCGCTGGATCACTATCCTGGCGCATTAGCCAGCTCGCCCACCACGCCCCATTTAATAATGATAATTAATAAATTGATATAGCGTCTGACGTCGGAGTAAAGTGATCAGTGGGATGTGATAATAACTTTCTATCGAATGTGAGTTAAGCATTCTATAACGCTATAATTACTAAGAACAAAAACCAGCATTGATATCTAAGGTCATCAGAACTGTTTCATGAACCAAGAACAAAATTTAATGTTATGTCCAATTGTCATAGCCAGTTCTACAATAACGTCACTTCCGAGATAACCACATTATCATTGAGATAGGGCTAGATCTTGGCTCGAGTTAAGTGTGTACTTTAATAAAGTAGCTATAGTTTACTCAGAGTGACCAGCGGCTATAATTTTGTGGGAAAGACACACCATGTGTTGCCAGAATAAGGAGGTAATAGCATCCACTATTAACGTTTTAGTATTAAAAATATGACTCAAGAATTGATTTTAAATCATTTTACACATTCCTATTTCTCACTGACGTGGGTTGGCATGCGTACATTTTGTCTGCATCAACGTGTATTAAAGAATATGAAATTTTAAAAGTTCGTGGCTGGAATTTGAGAACCGTGTTCCGCGTAATCAAATAGAATATAAACTGTTTTGCTGGTGATTATTATCTACAATGAATTCCAATGAATTTTACAATAAATACGTGTCCTCGTGTTGCAGTAGTTCCTAATAATCGCCATTTGTAGTAGTTTTTTAAGTTACAGGCAGAGTGAGTTAGTGAGACTGAACAGTACAATGTGTGAAGCCCGTTTCTGACGTCCGTCTCCGTACAATTACTGGAATATTGCTAAAACGGCGTAAAACCATATTCAGTCACTGTATACTATATGTGTAATACATTGACCGTACTCAAATGGAGATGGATGGATTTATTCAACTCTTCAACGTCTTTTTTCCTGCGAGGTATCTACCAGTTTTGAATTTTAAAAATTATTCTGTAATTGTACATGCCACATCTGATGAAAATATGGAGCTTAAGCTTAATGCTAACATTTTCGCCAGCAATAATAATGCACAGACATTTTGTTATAAACATCCACTTAATTTTACTTAATGGCATAGTATCGAGAATATGTTTATTTGTTTATTTTTTTTTGTTTATTTGTTGTTAACGCCGCACTCAGCAATGTTCC